TATAATTTTAAAGTTATAAGTGAAAAAACTCATTCTTAAAAGAAATAAATATTTTTTAATTTGTTATTGAACTACAGGCTATTGTTGAATCTTGTTTCTTCAGAAAATGTCTGTTAAAATGCCCCTACTGTTAAAAAATTAGCATTGATTGTGTTGCAACAGGTTTTGTTTGAGGGTTTTTGATTATTTAGTAAAAGTAAAGACAATGTTCAGTTTTCTTTTTTTGAATGTAAGTTATTTATTTCTTTAGTAACATTCTACAGGCCACTTTTGCTAATAGGCCTAACTCACGAATAAAACTAAAAATTTCAAAAAGATGACTGTGTTTTCATTTCTTAGGTTTCAGTTTTTGACCACTTGGCTTTATCCAGATCTGGACCTTCCAAAATATAATTGTGCATCACTGATATATATTATGAATGTGTTTTAATTCTTACATAATAATTTACTTATGTTTTAGGTTTGTCATTAGTGAGATTTTATCAGACAAAACTAGAGAAGATATTGTGGAAGCAATACATACACATCTATTAGAAGTAGGAAATAAAATCAGAGATGGAAAAGTTCCTTTAACAGAATTCACCATCACAAAGGTAAAGAATTTTTGATTTTCAAGCCAATGTTCAGGATTTTTGAGAGATGGCAAAGAATTTCTAGAACGTTTTCACTTAGACCTGAGTCATGAACATATTATAATTTCCTTTAAAGTTTTATGCCATTTTGTTATGTTTGGCTAAAAATAAATTTCCATAACAAGTTTTTAATTTGCATAACTTACTAAAAGCTTTTTCTATTTTCATGATTTTTGACTGTTAAATTTCTGTGCACATGTAGCATATTGCTGCTTTAAAAAAAAAAAAATCCATACAGGCTTCATAGCTAACACATCCTGTACTAATACCTATAAATTCTTATGTTACAGACAACAGAATTTGTATTTCCAAAACAACTGATTTAAAATAGTTTTATAATTATAAATACTAACACAGATAAATTTCTATTTGCTTAGCAACTGACAAAAAATCCTGAGGACTACCCTGATAAAAAGAGCTTACCTCATGTACAGGTGGCTTTAAGACTGAATTCTCGAGGGGGAAAGAAACTTCGACATGGAGATACTGTTTCTTACATTATTTGTCAGGTAGATCTTGTCAGTTTGAATATGTAGATAATACTAATAAAAACTTATAATACCTGCAGTTTTGGAGAAACAAGTTTCAATTATAATTTTTTTTTCCTTCTTTATTTTATATAGCAAAATTATCACTTTAAATGAGATTACTAGCAAAGTATTTTATAGCATATTTATATTTAGAATTTGTTGTGGATAATTTTGTTCTTAAAATAGTGAAATATATAAGAATATAAAATGTACTTCTCCCCAGTTATTTTGATTTAGTATTTTCGTACATCTTACACTAGTTTTGTTTATAAACACCACTAACAAAAAAAAAAAATAGTTCAGTTAAACTTTAGTCCTATAAAAGAAAATTTTGTTTTAGACTAAACATGTGAGACAAATACAGATAATTATGTTATTCTTTTGCAAGGATAATTAGGACACATGGTGAAAAAGAAAAAAAATTTTTATACATATATATGTATAAATTCACAATATGAGGAACACAGAAGAGTATGAATAAATAGGTCAGTATCAAAATCTATAGCATGAACTAATCAAAATTAATGCTGAGGGGGAATAGATGGTTGGAAAGAAGAAATATTTTATTAAGTTTGTATAAAATCAGGAAAGGTTCAAAGAAATTGTTCATTAAATGTATTTTGTGAAGTTTTTAAAAGTAATGATGACTGGGACACCATATGAGGGTTCATAGTTATACTTCATCACCTTTATTGTATAAAGTCACAGCAGTTATTGACATGGAGAACAAAGTAAAAAGTATAGGAATTACTAAGTTACTAGTATTGATTTTGCAAAGATTAAGGCTGAAGAGGAGAAGACTTTTTGAAAGTTACTGCATTATAGTTAATTAAAGGACACACATACCCCTGGTGGCACAGCGGTATGTCCGCAGACTTAAAATGCTATAAACTGGGTTTAGATACCTGTGGTGGGTAGAGCACAGGTAGCTAATTAAAGAATGCTGGTCACCAAAAAGTAATTTATATATATATATTTTTAGTACCACAATGTATATCACAAATGAAATGCTTCTGTTGGTTCTACACTGTGTGAAAAATAAAAGGGGGACCTGATAGTAAGTAAACATGGATGGTTTTGCTTTTGCATATACCTAATTCTGATACAAGCTCACATGCTGTGGTATCTGTTCAATCTGGTCTAGTATTTAATAGGAAAGTGTTGATGTTATGTACAGTAGCTAAATTTAATAATTAATTATGAATGAGAATTTTTTTAATGTCTTCAAAATATCTTATTGTATTGTAAATGGATCCATCAATGATTTCAGACATGAAAATGATCTAGTAGAAATGTGTACATGTAGGACTGCTTTCTGGTCATACCACCACGATGCACACTATGAAAAGTTTTAAACTATTTTCTGTAATTTTAACTCTGTGCATCATGCAAAAAATGAGGGAAGTTACTTGTGAAGCATAGGGTGGTAAGAAGAATGGTTGACAGAAAAGGATGAATATATCAAGAGAGCACTTAATTGAACCAATTCCTATCATTCTTTTGATGAATGTGTATCAAATGCTCCGTAATTTACAAACTAAATCATGGAAGAGGTTTGTGTCAAAAATTATTACCTTACCAAGCAGATCAAAGATTTCTTCAGTCATGGTTTCATTTTAAATATTTTGACAGTGGTTCAAACTGTTATGATTGAATGTTGTCTACTGGCGTACATAGCTGGTCATCACTATATTATAAGTCCATGATCTGATATTGACTGTTATTAACATGTCCCTCAGGAGCCAAGGAGTGTCTTTACACCACAATTTGTTGAATGTTAAAAGCAAGTTCAATCCGGAAACTCCCCAAGAGGGTGGTTTTGGGCGTATCTTTTCGAGATAAGTTTTTGTTTGTTACTTGATAAATTTTAAATGAAATGCAGCATCCTCAAGTCTCCATACTAGCTAGTACTAAGGTCTACCCACCGGGAGTAAATTCAGTATATATCAATAAAGCCACATTCTCAGCATTATTAATTAAGCAGTTGCCAACCTTTTATGCTTCTGCTATTATCTTTTTATGTTTAGCTACGAACGATTTCACCTGCAATTCAGTAGGGAAGGTCAAAGCATCACGATAGTCAGCAGTAGGATGAGCAGACAGGAACACTTTGAAACCAGCTACAGGCATAATATTGTACTTGGCTTGCTGCACAATATCTATCAAGGTGGTTCTAAATGGTTCCTGAATACCTCTGCCTGTCATTTGGAGACTTCCATGCTTCTTGTGCTTGGCCGTTAAGCTCGTGATGTGCTGATGGATTTAAGTCACCTTACCACTTCAAATCACTTTTTGAAGTCCCAATGCTAAAAGAGTGCAGGAAATGCCTTCTTTTTTAGCCAATAAAAATGTCCAAAACATTTCAGTTCAAATAAAAAAAAACCAGATTGGGTAATTTGTTTTGTTTTTTGTCAACAAAAATGTCCCTCACTAGCTTGTGAGGGGCCGGTTAAATTTAACTATCACTATGCAGGTAAAAGTGATATTTTTGGGACAACATGGGACCTTTGGTATATCTTGGCTGATTAAAAAATAAATAAATCTTAGCCAGTCCTTTTCATTCATATACTTATCAAGCTTTTTCTTAAACTCACTTAAATTTACTGCCTCTACAACATCTG